ATTATTATTATTATTATTATTATTATTATTATTATTATTATTATCATTATCATTATCATTATCATTATTTTTATCATTATTATTATTATTATTATTATTATTATTATTATTATTATTAAAATGAGCGTTGACACTTCTCCATTTCAATCACTTCTCCATTTCAATCACTTCTTGCTCATAACTGTTCAGGTGTTGTTATTTGTTCTCGATTAATTCTTCAAATGGCCTTCGAGTGCCTTTTTCATTCAACTGCTGTACAACCAGGAATGAGTCAGACATAATATTAATAATACTGCTCCCTTGTACAACATATATGCCTACTATTTTCTCCCTCCGAAGTCTTTCATATATAGGCCTATCGATATAGTAACATTAACAATATAGTCAAGATAATAACATTAAAATGACCTCTGTAGACCCTCTTTACTTATCCATTCTATCACTTTTGCTCATAATTGGAGCATGGAGCCTGTCATAGTATCGATATAGTAACATTAATATAGGCTATAGTCAGGGGCGGATCCAGTTTTCAAACCGGGGCATAGGCGTAGATCCCGGGGGGATGGGGATATATTCCCCCAATATTTGACAAGGGGGATGGTCCATTGTATCATCACCCCAATATTTTGACTATGTATGGGATAAAATGGAGCTTTACACACTTCAAAATACTGTCACAGAAATAATTTGCAATGTCTTATGCGCTTACAAAGATGAAAATTAGCATAATGGATTAATGTTGATAACAAAATGATTTTATCTGGTACCAATCTAAGCTCTTCTTTCCTTACTATAGATGTTAGATGTGCTTGCAAAGCAAGCCACATTTTCACTCTGAAGGGTGTGTACGACATCAGTAATTTTATGTCAATTCCAAGAATTTTCAATCATCCCCCCCCCCCCCCAATGAAAAATACTTTTCTACGGGGGTTAGGTTAGGTTTTGGGGCATAACAGTTTCAGAATAGGTACGTGAGTAGCACATACATTGATTTGCATTGAAATTTTTAAAATTTAGTAGCAAAAAGTGGGGGGGGGGGGCGTTCCCCTTACAGGATCCGCTCCTGATAGTCGAGATGTAAGATTGAAATGAGTATTTAGTAACATTAATATGAGCTCTGAGGCATTCTTCACTTCTCCATTTAATCTCGCTCATAATTATTTTATCTGTTCTCGATTATTTCTTCAAACAGCCTTCCAGTGTCAATATCCATCCAGGGAGCAGTCATATTACCGCTCCCGGGTACATTAATTAATTTTCCGCTCCACCCGGAGCCTGGCTTAAAGGGGAATGACGTGCCCTCGTTGGCATGGCAAGCAAATACATATTGAAATAAATTGAAATATTAAGAAAGCATGTTGTTCATGTCACATCATCAACCGTCATCATCGTCATCAGGCATTACCATCATTATGTGCACTTTAAGGGTGATATTGTCGTTGTTGTAGTAATCTCTGTCTTCCCCATCGTCGTTGTTGTCGCAGCAGCCGTATTCATCGACGAGCGATCGACTGCTTTACACGCGACGAAACTAGTATAATACATACATACCGCCGTGTGTTCTAAGGCCTACTAAAAAACAATCTAATACAGTATATGGATCTATATTGTGTATTTTAAGTTATTAGCTTTATATAGAAAATTAGACTGAGAAAAATATTCTTGTATTAATTGCTATCTTAAAGGTTTTTAATGTTTAACAGTCGGTATATTAACATGATAATAAACTTCGGCCCTATATCAAGGCCTATAGAGCTAGTGATGATGCTATCAGGGTATTTATTCATACAATATGCGAGTTTTAATTTCAGTAATGATATTTTTTATTCAGGATGGACGTGGCAGAGTGAAACGAAATTACTCACGGATGAACGGTATACAGATTGCCTGATTCATTTGGGCGCATTGTTAGTGAACTCTCGCAATGGAAGTATAGGCCTCTTTTACAGTATATGTGAAAACCAACACGATTCCTGTCACATTTTTACTTTAATGTTCAAATCGAGTTTCGATGACGGATACTCTTGGGAAAAAGCAATAAATGTCTCGCACCAGATTGGACCTGGAGTGTTCACCATTGGACCCGGATACGCAATAGAGGTATAATATGACCATGAGGGTTTTCGACTGCTCAGTGAAGTTTACAGCGTCAAAAATAACTGTTCCTTGTTATAATGATGCTGCTTTTAAAGTTTACCATGAGTGTTGAAGATACAGTAGGCCAACCTAAAAAAAGTGAATAGGTCATTTTACGGAATCAAATAAATGATTATCTACTACTAAGAAACAGATCGAAACAAAAATTGTGTTCACACCGATTTATGGACATATTTCTACAAAATATTCTTAAATTGGCGGTCATCAAAGGAAGTTGTAGTAAAATGTCTGTAAATCGGTGAAAACATTTTTTCGATTTCTTGGTGGAAGCTAATTATAATTTATGCGATCTTTTTCAATGAGCTATTCAAACATTTTATTTAAATTTTTGAGGTATTTCCTGTCTTTTGACTGATAGTGTACGGTATCTTTTAAAATCATGGCATTGCTTGCATAGTTTATTTTTGTAATGCATTTCTCTCAGTAAGCCTATACTATACGTTTGTAGATCTGGGGAAATTGATCATAATAAGACACGATATGAACTGGTTAACAAATTGTCATAATTAACGTGAGAGTTAAAATGTAATTTAAGCCTAAAGTGGCACAGTGATTGATGCTTTTTGATGAACACATTGACGAAGACATTAGGTAATTATACCACTGAACTCAATTTAAATCACATCATCATAGCTCCCTCAAGAAATGTAGTGCATCTCCACTTTCTCATCGCAACCCATCAGCTCTCTCCAACACCGATACAATAAGTATATGGCTTACTGAGGCGCTTTTCATTTTAGATTCATTCATTTTCCTCTCTTTTTGTGCGGAAAAAAGAGTTCTATAGTACCGTAATCATAAAAACAATTATGATTCGACTTTACAGCAATCAATTTGATTTTACAGAAAAAATATCCACCTTTTATTGGACGGTTAATTGTCTGCGGCCATGGCAACACACAGTACGGGGAAACATTTTGTCTCTTAAGCGACGACAATGGAGAAACATGGCGCAAGGGTGGTATTATGAGAAGTATACCATATGGAAGCGACAGCAGCTATCGAGATTTCTTTCCAGATGAAAGTCAGGTTGGTAGCTCTGGATTTATGGTCGATTTACTTGTTTGATTTTTGTCCTAATTACGTCCGTCTGTGCATTTGTTCGTCCGTCAATCCATCATTTTGAATCGTTTAATGAAATTGCAGACGTTGTTATTACTTTATATAGGCCTAAATATTTCTCCATGACCTCACGGTTCAATATAAAAAAAAACATTACATGGTGTTGTTTACTTAGTAAACAATGAGGGATGAATAGACAAAGGAAATAAACAGGGGCATGATATCAAGTGCAATTGATAGTAATAAAACATAACAGAAGACGGATTTCACATATTTAAATCAAACAATAAAACCTCAACCGAAACTGGAATATGGCAACGTTCGCAAAATTTAAAAAAAAATCACATAGGCCTATTGCGTTAAAGGCTTTTGTGGTGAATCAGTTTGTCTGTTATAGCCATAGAGTTATAATAAGAATATGGTTATCAAGGGCGGATTTCAGGAGGACTGGGGCCCGGGGATTTGGGAGGCCCGTTCAATAGGCATATAGATCTAAAAATATACCGTAACTTTAAAAATTTCTATTTAAATTTTCCCCTCAGTAACATTACGTTGTAGAGGCCATAATTATATTATATTCATTACAATTCATGAATAGGCCTACGTTTTGCAATGATTGTTCTATTGCCAATACTATAATTTATCAGAGACTCATGAATTATCACCAAAACTACTGTATAAACCAAGCGTGTTTTTAATTTATTTTGTTTCTTTGAAATTCATGTAAGTGTATGTACCTCGAAAAAAAATGCCCATGCTATCTTGAAATGAAGCCCATTGGGCTTGTATTCGAGGTTTTCGGTAAATGCTCGTTACAATGCCGTATCTGTTTTAACAAATTCGGAATGTATATGAGCAGTAACAGCTTCGCCAAAGTAGACCCCACCAAGGCTCTGTCTCCGGGTCCCATCATCACCACCTCGATACGCCGCTGCCCCCAATCTAGTGTTATCGCAATCGGCCCCACTTTTTCCCCCACCCCCACTTTCAGCCCCCAATTTTGGACTAAATATTCATCCGGAGTTGTCCCCCAAGTTTTCCCCCGAAATTTGACGAGTTACAAATTCATCGGAACTTTTAGGAGTGAGTGCATCTTTAAATGCAGTTACTATGAGATTGTATGTTATTCACACCTCCTCTTTCATATATAGGTTGTTGAGCTTCCAGATGGGTCTATATTTGCTATAATACGGAACGAAAGGCATTACAAATGTTTCTGTCGGATAACAGCATTGAGTTTCGACGGAGGCGAAAGCTTCGCAAGTGACAGTATACGATTAGTGAAAAAATTACCAGATTCTGCGGTTAGTGCTGGCTTACTTTGGCATGGTGGCCAGCTTATATACTCAAGTCCTGGTGGAAGAATATTGAGTAGGTTCTCTAATATTATGATTAATGAATATTTCATTATTGTTATTATCCTTATTTAATAATAATAATAAAAATAATAATAATTATGATTATTTATTATTGTTATTATCATTTATTATTATTATTTATTACTCTATTCGTATTAATAATTTATTGATAATAAAGTTGTTATAATTATTTATCATTATCATCTTTATTATCCATAGGGCAGACTCTAACACTGAAAAGAAGTGATGACTATGGAGTCAGCTGGCCAAAATCAACTGTTCTCTGGCCTTTGTTCAGCTCCTATAGTGCTATGACGTCATTTTCTAACAGTACATCTGAATATATATACCTTGTATATGAAAAAGGATATTTATGGGGATATTCATCAATAGAGTTTATGATAATTGATCTATCTATGTTGAATTAAACAAAAGCAAAAACAAGAGAATCTAGCTATTCCTATTCAGGGACAGCCCCTCTTGCCATTTGTGAATTTGTTACCTGTGCAGTTCCGGGGTCTTTTTAATTCCCTCCGCCAGGAGGTTATGTACCGTACTCACCACTGTCTGTCTGTCTGTTATGCAAGATTGCTTAAAAACTAAAGGAATGGATCATCATCATCATCAAATTTAGGCGAATGCTAATATAATTTAAGAAAGACATGGGAAAAGGTAAAAGGACAAAGTCATAAGGCTACGGAAATTCAATTTAAATTTGTTGCCTTGGAACTTACCCTCGAGCATAAAAGAAAATAATGGAGTCGGCCTTATACACGGCCTGTGTATTGTTCGGTTTCCAGGCAGTTATGCTTTCTGTGGAGTGCCTGCTCTTGTTTGTTATAGCGTTTACATAATTATATTAGTTTTTTTCTGTTAAAAGAGGAAGTAAATATATGTCAAGTTGAATAATAAAAATGCGAGGTTCAACGTTAGGGTTTATTGTATGCTTTATCATTAATTATTTTGTATTACTGTATGTAGGACGGTACTCGCAAAAAGGCTGCGAGGTACTGGGGTGGGTCCAGATATTTGTAGGAGGGGGTACAGAAAGAAGGGAACGCCTGTATAAATAATATACGTTTAAATGAATTTGGGAACCGTCTTTTGTCTTGTCATCCTCCCATCTTTCGAGAGACTTAAAGCCAACAATAATATTAGCCTTAAAATTGTATTCACAAATGACCCCACCCCTAAAGAAAACAGCTGCTGTACCTTTTTTCCCAGCTTAAAATTTAAAAGCATTCTAAAATGTTAAGGGTAGTGTGGGTGGGGGAACCATCGCCCCCCCCCCCCCCCCCCCCCCAGGTGTATCATTTAAATAATCATTCTGTGAAGCCCAGTCGAACTCTAATTTAAGACCTTTGCAAACGAAAGTCAAATTACCTGTTAAAAAGAAGAACATGAACCAATAATAATTTTCTTTATAATGTTAAAGCAGGTAAGATAGGCATACTGGTAAGGAATATGGTAAAAATGGATTATACAATATATGCTAAATAATAATAGGCCATGTCGCTTTTATATAGCGCTTCATGCACAATGCTTCTAAGCGTTTCACATTACTACCAATGATGAGATGGCAATTCCTTATTCGTGTCGTATTGACTTGTTTTAGTAATTAACATGGTCAGTTTTTAATATTTTTATTCCATTATTTAGTGAACATAGGCTATAACGTATTTGTATGAGCCGCGATCCCTGAAGTGTTACGTTCCACTTACCTGTACTCTGTTGCTCCTTTCACTGTACTAACGTAATTTGAATAATAAATTCTCACATATGTTGCTTTTGTAGCGTGACAAGTCATCATTCAATATTTTGTAGACTCGTGTTATTTTAAAATATTTTTTTTAACGATCATTTTAATGGGCATAAATAGGCACTCAAAATATGCCAATAATGGTAAGACATTTAAAAGAATGGTGCTATGATATATTTAGCTGTGCACGTGTCTGGACGATCTGACACCTGCGAGAATATTTTACGTAGGCCTAGGCCTAATTTTACGGGGCCAAGGGAGTAACATTCACATATTGAGGGATGTAGTAGACCACCTCAGCGCCACCATGATTGGGGTATAATAACATTTAAGATTACCTCTTATGGTCGGGAATGGCACTCTCAGACAGGGAGGTATAGAGAGACTTAAATTTCAACATTATTTTCCTTTTTTCTCAATTTATTTTATACTTACCCCGCCCCGTGCCAGCAGTTGGCCTAAGTTATTCCATGAGAGGAAATATCTTACGATATTTTCTTCATGGTTTTAATATTCAAAACTCACAGTATTAATTTGTAGGCCTATTTCCAAAGATAATACATATAGCATTATTTGTTGGAAATTCATAACACATGTTTACATATTGATTATATTTCACAATACCCTGCACACGTCGTGTAAAGATAATGTATTTATTGTTATTCCAACATTGCATTATTATGTATTCGTGTTGCTTGATTTTTTTCTTTTTATTTCTGGAGGAATAAGCAACTCAATTCATTTAGTTATGGCACTGATAAGAAATTAAATTTTGATCCCTATTAGCTGTATATATACCTCTACGTTTAGAGTTACCGGTATGGTCTTCTCTGTCCATATATCATTTTTAACCTGGGTGCTTTTCTTCTGGGCCCACTCTCTGTGTGGGCATACAGGCCTTTAATATCTTTAGTGAAAGTATGACTATTTTCCTGATTCATACCGGTAAGATCATTTGCCCTGTAAGGTCATACTCTTAAAAAAATCTACCTATTGGAGGGTCCTGAACGCCTAAATCATATTTTTTTGGTACAAATGGGCACTATTGCTCAGAGATAATCCTATATTCAGGCGGTGAAACTTAAACTTAGAAATACCTGGATGATGATGTTGATGATAATAATAATAATAATAATAATAATAATATTTTAATTTAGTAAAGTAACATGAATATATTGCACTGACCTACGTATTTTTATGACAACAAAGTAGCTACTTGTTGTATAATACATTAGTTAGCAATATTGTGGTACCGAACCAAGACTCAGAAATAACAGGATGGTATCTAAAAAGTACGGAAGCGTATTGCTGCCAACTAAAAAAAATTAAATTTAGATATTATCTCGTTATTACGAGATATTATCTCGTAATAACGAGATAATTATCTCGTAATTTCGAGATATTATCTCGTAATAACGAGATAATTATCTCTATAATTAATATCTATATTTTAATATAGATATCTATAGATCTTTAATATAGATATCTACTATGATATCTATAGATATTAATATCTATAATTATCTCGTAATTATGAGATAATTATCTCGTTATTACGAGATAATATCTCGTACTTACGAGATATTATCTGAATTTTATTTTTTTTTTAGTTGGCAGCAATACGCTTCCGTAAAAAGGTACTATGGATTACTTCAGTAAAATAGTAATACATTTTAAATAATTCGTTATCATAAAAACTAAACCTATAGGGATGTTGGTCAGCGGGGGATAATTTTACTATTACTGCAGTAGGCTAATGGAGAAATTTTGTTTATAAAGCTTCGCTAGGGCCCCGACTTTGTCTTCCCGAACCAGGACCCCTCGGAACCAGAATTTCGCCGCTTTCCACTCTGAACCTTCGCTCACCCAATAGCCCCCCACCCACCTCTCACATTCAATACTCCAACGGCAGGCGCGGATCCAGACCTTCGCATCGTTGTTCGCCAAGGATAAAATTTAAATATGAAATAGTGGTGGTGGTGGTGGTCTGGCGAATTTCAACTCTCCCCTTCTTCCCTTCTTTTAGAAATGCCTTCTGCCTCAACCAAAGATAAATATAGATAAATATATGCAATACGTAGGCCTACATTTTTGCATTGTATAAATACTAATTAAAAAGGGACTGTAATTAAACCGCAGGTACGATGTACTGTGATAACGCACACTGTCGAGTTTTGTATTTTGATTGTATATAGGGTCTGTGATGAAACTATCAAGAATTAATCACAGAGAGAGGATATAGTTTTATAAATGTGCGCGTTAATTCTTATAACATTATAGAAAGGCACATATAATTTTATTATAACATAATGTTATATAAAGATAACACTAAAGCGAAAAACTATTATTTTAACTATCTAATACTTTTTAATTAATTATTATTTAACGGATGTTATAAAAAAAAGGGGGTCTTTATTGGAGTGGGTAGCCTTGTAGAATATAGAGCTTAACACTTACGAACACACTCAAAGCTGAAATTTCATAAAATGTCCACAGTCGGCACCGACCATGCCACTGAGAGCCTTCGAATGAATACGGTATCTTAAGAAGAGCAACGACAACTGGAATGATATGAATTTAAAATAAAACAGCGTCTGGTGGAGTTTTCTTCATTAATTTCCTACCAGATACTCCATTGTGAAGAAAGGCAAACGTAGCCTATAAAGTGTTTTGCCCAAGTAAACAATTACGGGGCATGTCCCAAATATTGGCCTAAAAATGGAGGAATTCCCTGGCAAGAAGACAAATTCACTAGCTGTTCCCTGTGTTCGTCGTGTCATTAGTCTTTCAATCAGAGGTATTTATGTTTCCCAGTCGGGCTTCCAGAACATCAGAACTACTAATGGGTGTAGTAGATAATTGGGCCTGGGTAAATAATGGCCCTCCCCCACATATATTTAAAGGGGGTTTGTTACCCTTACGTTTTGACAGCAATAATTTTTGTACGTCATACGATTCCGGAAAACCGAAATAAAGATGTATAATGACCCAGATTTTAAGAAAAGAGCGTTCTGCAGCAGTTCCGTTAAATAAAAATTATTAACAACTCTTTTACACAATTTTGTAATTATGATGTTAATTACATAAAACAAGTGTTGGAATTTTGTTGGAGCTTTGTTTTGACTGCGGTGGTGATGTGATGATGGTGAACTTTTGATATAAGAGTGTCATTTTCTGCCATCTATAGGTAACTATTTCTTCAAATGTTCACACCTCAACCCCAACAATGGTGGGGCAATGGCCTACCCCGGGGCCTACATTCACGACAGTGTCACCTAAAAAGATATGCGCCCTTGAAACCACTGAACTGAGGCCCTTCGTCCCTACAGCCCAACAGGGGGCCTCTGGTGATGGCCCTACATGTGAGCTCAATTTCCTCCCATTATTTCCACGACTTAGACCGTACGGCCGTCCGTCACTACAATTTCTTCCCCATTGTCATTATTCAATTTCCATATCAAAGTAGGAAAATGAATGAATTTGGAGTTTATTAATTCATTAATAGACGTCTTTAGGGTGAATTATCGATTTGGCAGTTTCTGTTAATTCAGGAATGATGAACACGATACCCAATTTGCCTTAAAGCCAGGCTTCGGAGGAAAATTTGTTTTAATACTGATTTTACGATACGATACGATACTCCTTTATTGTCATTTAAACAACATGGTACAAATGAAATTAGTGTTGATTGATCCGATAGGCAAAAACAGAAGCATGTGAAATTTCTGAATAAAAAAAGGAATAAATAAATAGATATCAAACACATAACAGCATTTCAAATGTGACTTATCTTCTAAAATGTTTATTCAAAACATGAATGGAATTATGGACAAAAGATTGTCTCACAGCGTTTTGTGTTTTGATTTATAGTGATTAGTCTACCAGTTTGACTTTGCTTAAAGTACTTACCGTATTTAATAGATGATCGGGATTCTGGTGGATCTTTTTAAACCGTGCTAGGGATGTCCATTTCATGTAGCTTATCCAGAGTTTCAGGATATGCCCAATAATTTTACTGGCCCACTTTTATTTGAGCTAACTGTTTATTTTTTTCTGCTTGTGTAAGATTTGAGAATTGAAATTGAGTTGAGACAATTGAATCAAACAGCAGAACACTAATTACGCATTCAAAGAAAAGATTTAAAATTTCTCAGCTTATGTTAAACGTTTTTA